CAGGGAGCAATCAACTTAGAAGTAGATGTTATTTGGAGATAAACCCTGAGTTTGTTCTCAGGCCTCCTCAAGCACAGGCATGCAAATAAATAGGCACATTTTCTTAAAAAAGATAACTATATATAATAAAGGCATAATTACTATTAATTCTCACCTATGAAGATGTGAAATGTGAACTATTTACACTTAGATATCTAATTCTCACCAAAATTTTAATTCAGAGTATTTTCTCAAGAACCTACTTTTACCATCAGTAAAATTTAGTATTAACCCAAGTAAGGGACAATCAAGAAAATAAGTCTAATATATGCAAATACATTGCCAAGTAAAATGTTTGAAACAAAAGTTATGCCTTTAACAGTCACGATCCCATCTATTCACCTGATTTAATTTCTTACTGCATAGGCTCAGAAGAACCTGAAACTATGTAGCACAGCTGAATTCCAGAGTGCTGGGATTACAGCACCATCATGCCAAACTCTCAAATTTCTATTTTTATGGATAAACTGTATCTAAAATTTCTACCAATGAACTATTAGTCTTAAATATATTATCTTAAAAGTTCTGAGACCAAACTCAGAAATTTTATATATTGAGTTCTTGTAATTTAAAAACTATGCATTTAAGCAATTATACATATCACACAATGTAAAATTTTTATAAAACATAAATATTGCCAAATTCTGTCATACATTTCATCACTGTAGAAGGTATTTAATTTTGGGTTTTCATATAGTTATTTTTCTGTATACCTGTGCACCACACACACGCCTGGTGTCCACAAAGGCAGAGGGGGTAGGATACCCCGCCATGTGGATATTGATAATAGAACCCGTGCCCTCTAAGTTAACATATATTTTAAGAACCAAACTTATGTCCTCTGAAATACAACTCAACTACTGAGCTCGCTTCGGCCACCAGATGTGAATTAAAGTAACTCAGTGGTAGAGCCTATTACCCAGCATGTGTGAGGTCGTAAGTTCAAACCCTACTATGTCTATCCAAATGAATAGACCAATGACATGGATCGCCAGCAAATGTCCTGCTGCCAAACCTAGACACCCACATTTGATCCTAGGGACTAACATGGCTGAAGGACAGAAACATCCCAGTTGTCTTCTGACTTACACATGAACATATCCATACACACACAAAATTAAAAATGTAAATAAACAACCAAGTCATACTGTTATATCTTTGGATTTATTCTCTATTCTTTAAAGCACTGATAAGATTATCACATTCTACTTACATGTGTGTATGCATTCATTCATGTGAATGTAGGGATGTGTGCCATGGTCAGCTGGTGGAAATAAGAGGAAAACCTCAAGCTCAATGGTTAATTTCCAACTTGTTTGATACAGGATCTCTTTTTGCCACTCACTGTTGTGAACACCAGGCTGGCTAGCCCAATATCTTCAAGGGATTCTGTCTCCATCTACCATCTCATCTTGGGCAAAGGGATTCTAGATATACACTACCATCCCTGACTAATGTTGATTATGAGGATGCAAACTCAGGTCCTCACACTTGTGCACCAAGTACACTTTTTTCACTGAGCCATCTCCCCAGCCCTTCTCAGAGGAACAAATATTATCAGGTGTGGTAGTGTGTGCCTGTAATCTCAACACTTGAAGGATCAGAAGTTCAAAAGGTGAACTTATATCTACTTTATTCTTCAGAATAAAACTTACTTGAAGTACAGTAGATCAATTACTTTGATCATCTTTTTCAGATAACTATTAGCTCCCACAAAGTAAACCCATTTTTCTCTGCATAATACAAAAAAAGCTGTCTCAAGATTATAAACCAACAGATGCTGACTTTCTCACCAAATGTTACATTGTTAGCATTTTATTCTTTTCTTCAAAGTAACATGTTACTAATATCTGATTTCTATTAACATTTTTCAATATTTTCAGTTTTGTGTTTTTGTTTGTTTCAGTTTTTGGAAACAGAGTTACTCTGTGTACCCCTGGCTGCCCTGAAACTTAATCTGTAGACCAGACTGGCCTTGAACTCAGAAATCCACCTGCCTAAGCCTCATCAAAGGTGTGCCCAGGTTGTTTTTGCTGGGTTTTGTTGTTGTTGCTTAAGCAATCAGATATCCATTTAAGATTCTAGGACAAAACTGTGAAGACTACATTTTCAAAGTTAGGAACTCACTACATCACTACATACTCAATGTTAGAGAAGCTTCATAAATTTACTGATTAGGATTTGGACCCAACTGCAATGTTTATGCCACAAAATTCTCTATATATTCTATTTTTATAGTAAATATATTAATTTGTATTGTTCTACAAATGCATTTCATAAACTTATTTTGATTTTATCACATTTCATGAACTGGATTTAGGGGTATTTTAAAGTGTTGAGAGTTTATTTTTGTAATCCAACAACTTTATCCAAAAATGCAGAAAATTTTTCTGGCTGGCCAGGAGGATAACATTTCAGTGTTGATAAATCCATTGACTGTAACAGCCCAGGAAGCGTGCTAAAACAAAAGAAGAAAAATATCAGGTAGCATGAGAGAAAGTTCCCTAGCTTTTCTGCTGCCCATTTGATGAATGAACTGTGAATTTTTGTAATTTTAATATCATGGGGATATACACACTATTATTGCCAACACAAAGAGTACCATAAAATATTGGATAAATTGAATAGACATTTTTAGTTCAGTCAAATGAAGTGTTTCAGAAATGTTGTTTCAATGAAATTTTAATTATACTGCTTTTTAATACTCTCCAAAACCACACAAACATAAAATAAAGCAAAGTAAATTTATGGAAACAGAATAAATGAAACCAAAACAATAGGTATCAGAAAAGAAAGCTAGAGTTATTATACTAAATAACATGCATATCGACTGTAAGAAAACTTACTGAAAATTACCATGAATTCATAACTAATCAATATGTAGTCATCATGTATGTTGGAAATAAGGTTCTAAACAGCATAAAACTTACTTCAGAAACTTAAACAAGTGAACTAAATTTGAACAGACATACCACCATCCAACCTAGGTTTGGGTAAAATATAATCAATGATTCTTGATACTATCAGAAATGACTTTTCTAAAATTAATAGTTTCTAAAAATGTTTAAAAGATAGGGGGAGGGCAAAGAAACTGCTCTGAGGGTAAAAGTAATTATCACCACGCCTGATAACGGAGAAATCAATCCCCAGAACACACATGGTAGAAGGAGAGAACAATTCAAAGTTGTCCTCTGTCTTTAAGGCCCACAATACAGCACACATATATTTTTTTTTCAAAAAAAAAGGAAGCATACAGTCATTTCATCCTGCAAAAGTTAGGATGTCTTTATATACATATTTTTTAAAAAATCTATTTTTTGTATTTTATAATATACTAACAAAAAAAATTCAGAGCTAACTAGCTGGGGACAGTAGCCCATACCTATCTATCATCACTAAAGCTCAGAAGGATCAGGAGCTCAAGGTTAGCCTGTGCTATACAGAGATCATCTCCAAAAATAATAGAAGTGAACACATTTTGAATGAAATTCCTTTTCAACAGCCCCTAGAAATATTAACTTTGATACATTGTTTAGGAAGATCTGTTCCTATGAAGTTGTCATCTTTTAACAGTATCAAGTACTTAAAGGCAGATACACCAATTATCTGAACTGTTACTAATTTCTAGCTTTTCTTCTGAGTCATTTTACCAAGACAACATTTCCTTTCTTTCATCATTATAGTTAAGCACACTACCAGTTTTACTGCTTGAATACTAATCACTGACTAAATCTGTCTTCTCCCACTGAAAACATCAAGCTTAGTTCACTGATATATATGTATGTATATACCAAATGTCTAAAAAAGCATGTCATAACAAGTGTTTCATACTTAATGAATGCACAGGTATACACCAAATGTCTGAAAGAAACAAAAATAAAATCCAAAGACACACTTACCATGTTCTAACTTTAATATAAGACATAGACATACAATTAATTTCTTTATGAGATTACTTTTTTTAAAATATCAAGTTAGAAAAGTTTTTAAAATTAAGCAACTGGGAATTACTGACCTGGCCCTTTGGCAAGCTTCTAGTGTCCCAAAGAAGAACTAACAGAAAAACAGCATTTTTCTTCAAGCTTCTACTGTGATGCTGATAAAACAATACTCCTTACCAAAGATCCCTTTGCTTAAAGTGCTCCATGGCTTCTCATTAAACATAAAATAAAATTAGAACTCTTAAATGAGCTTATGCCCTCCCAGCTTCATATTCATTCTTCCCTGGTCACTATGCTTTTACCATACCAACCTTCCCTGTTCCTCAAGCATTCCAAACGCCAAGTTCATTCCTAAATTAAAGGTTTTGTAACTCAAGCTCCCTTGTCTTTAAATTTCATATGATTGGTTCTTCCTTCTAATTCAGGACTAACCTCAAACATCAGGTCATTTGTCAAGCCTCTCCTGAAGTCTACCTAATTCTTACTTATCCCAGCTACAATATTGTCCTGTCTTTTATTTCTAGCATAGTTCATCATGTGAAACTCTAGCACCATAATGTAAATATTATGTTTGCCACTGTAACCCAAGCACTTAAAAAAGTACCAACTTTTTATTAAATAAAAGAGAATATGTGAATGAATATATGGGCTTCCAGTGGATTTACTAAAAGTCAAACTTTAACAACTAAAACTCATATATATGAAACTGTCCAAATAACTGAATTAATTAGTCCTTAATATAAGCATACACCTTCTTTGAACACTGAAAACCTGAATAGTGAACTATAAAACTTTGTTTCTTGGAAATCTGCACACCCATACGCACTTTCAGACATTCAAATTCCCATACACAGAGTTGGTTGGCCATGAATACAGAAAAAGACAACACAGAACCAAGTCAAAGCTAAGACAAATAAGAGGTTAGTGTGTGAAAAGTGTAAAAGTCAAAAGGTTAGACAGGTGGGTAACAGCTGGGAAGGAATTAAAGGCAAGAGTTCAACTGATCAGTCTCTAGTATACCTGCAGGTACAATAGAAGAGATGTCCTTCTTTGTGCAACTGCTTTGCCAATTCGAATTGATGATTGTTCATTAACTTTTCATTTACAACTACCACAAGTGGCTTGCCTTTTTCCAGACTCTCCAAGCAACTTCCTGCACCTACAAAAATAACTTATTAAATCAATTTTTTTAACTTATGGTACACTATCATAGTTTTATTTCTAAAATTAGTAAAATTATAAAACCAAACCTTTTACTTATTTCATAAAAATGACAAACATTAAGTTTAGTGGCACATGCCCCAAATTCCAACATGTGGGAGATTAAAGCAGGAGCATCATGGGTCACACAAGCAGACTCTGTATCAACAACAAAAAGAAAACGTACCAACTAATTTTTCTCTAATGTTTTTTGAGGGGAGGGGAATAGAAAGCCTACAGCCTATTCTTGCCTGAAACTTGCTACAAAAAGTCCAGGCTGACATTGAACTTACCATTACCATACTGTCCTGTATACATACAACCTCCAGAGCTCTGAGATTACCAAATCCCTAGCTGCTACCATTAACAACTTCACTTCTATCCAAATATAAACAGAAAAGGCAGGTTTATGCCCTGAAGACACCCATATTAAAAGCTGAGTTCAATCTGTAACACCAATTAAGGGAGGAAGGAGACAGGAAATCCCTGGAGTTCATTAACCTATCAGGTGACCTGAACTGATAACTCCAGGTTCAGTGAGACCCTGTTTCAAAAAATAATGTGGAAAGCTTAGAGATGGCTCAGAAATCAAGAGCATATACTGTCCTGCTCTCTTTCAGAAAACCAAAGTTTGATTGGGTCACTCATAGCTACCTGTAACTCCAGTTCCATCCAGGGTGTACAAATACATACAACTAAAAAATACATATTAAAAAACAGTGGGAGCAAACCTTTAATCCCAGCACTCAGGAGGCAGAAGCTGACAGATTGTTGTGAGCTCAAAGCCAGCCTGGTCTACATATTGAATTTTAGGCAAGCCAGGACTACATAGTGAGACTATATATATAAACTAAACGTGGAGAACAACCCAGTAAGACACCCATTGTCTACCTCTAGCCTCAACACACACAGATGTATTACTCACACATACACACACAATCACACAGATGCACATGCACGGACCGACATCAGACACACACATACCAGATACAAAAAATAAAGGTGATTTTTAAAAATTATTGAGTTTTTAAGATAGCCCCAGAGCCCACATGGTAGAAGACAACACACACACACAGAGGAAAGGACAGGGGAGAGGAAGAGAGGTAGGTAGAGGAAGAAAACAAATAAATGCACTAAATTTTTCTTACATTTTTAAAGGCTAGCCTATAATAGGACAAGTACTAAAACAGAAAACAATCCTTATGCTTTTACCCCTGAAGGCTATTCCCAAGATAGTCATGACTAGATCACCACAAATATGCAAATTTTATGATCACTTCTACTTTGAGATTTAAAATTCCTTAGAGGGCTAGGGAGAAGGCTGAGCAGACACATGTCACAAAGCCTGAAAACCTGAGCTCCCACCATGGAAACCCCAGAGTAAAGAGAATCAATTCCCACAAGTTGCCTTCTGACCTTCACATAACATGCCATGGCACACTTGCAACCATACACACAAGTAAATGACATTTAGGAGGACTATTAGAGATTATTTAGAGTAAATAAACCCTTTTTGTAAGTGTTAGGGTAGTAATTAAGACAGACTCTGCTGCTAAATTGTTATATTCTACAACTACAAATTACTGAACATCCATGTGTCTCAGTTACCTCACACCTAACAAAATGTGGATGTTAATAATGACTTTTCTTGTTTTTCTGGTTTTGGAGACAGGTTTCTCCAGTATCCCTGGCTAGCCTGGAACTCACTCCTCCAAAGACCAGGCTGACCTTGAACTCCTGTTTCTGCCAGTGCTGGGATTAAATCACCGCTGCCCAGCAGTAATGTCTATCTCTAAGGAGTTTTCTCTCCTCAAATCAAGTCTTTAGAAAAACCAGCATGTCACCCACAAATACCCATAGCAGACAAAACTGCACTGTTCCCCCAAAACATCTTTTCTAAAAGTACTGGAAATCTCAGGAACTCCGTTAGTTTGATCTCTTAAGGCTAGGCTACAATATACTTTCTAAATCTATTAGCTTATGTCTCTGAATACACAATTTATAACTCTAAAATTTTTAATTTTCTTACCATATCCTATTCAAAAATAAATAATATTTTACTGCATCTATTTTACATATATTCAACAGAAGTGCTAAAAAGACAATCCTTAAATGGTTATTACTACAACCCACACCTACCACTGAAAAGGCTTAATGTCCTTTAGGTCTAAGCCTAAATACTAATTTTAAATTCACAATCTGGCCAGGCGGTGGCATGCACCTTTAATCCCAGCACTTGGGAGGTAAAGGCAGGTAGATCTCTGTGAGTTTGAGGCCAGTCTGGTCTACAAGAGCTAGTTCCAGGCTCCAAAGCTACTGAGAAACCTTGTCTCGGTAAAACCAAAAAAACAAATTCACAATTTGTTATGATCATTGAATACATTATCTTTCCCCTCTGTTTAGAGTTTTGTACTATAAAAGTGGACAAAAATAGCTTTATACACTCTTGTCTAGAAATATCCTTCTCTCCACTAAAGTTATCAATGGATACATTCAAGTCAAATAATTATATTAAAATGAAGCTGCTATGAATTATTCTGTGTAATTAACTTACAGATTTTTAAGAAAGTAGCCCAGGCTAGCCTTCACCACTTCCTCTCAAGGGCAAGAATTACAGCCATGGGGCCTGGCTTTCCTAATTGTGGTGGTAAGAACTGGAACCAGGTCTTTCCACATGCTAAACATGTACCCTGAATTAGATCTCTAGTCCTTGTAAATTCAGTTTGAAAAGGTTAAAGTGTCTGTTTTTTATTTTATTTATTTATTTATTTTTGGTATTTCGAGACAGGGTTTCTCTGTGGTTTTGGAGCCTGTCCTGGAACTAACTCTGTAGACCAGGCTGTTCTAACTCACAGAGATCCACCTGCCTCTGCCTCCCGAGTGCACCACCATCGCCCGGTAAGTGTTTTTTTAATCAAAGATAAAAACCGAAGATTCTGGGGCTGGAAAGATGGCTCAGCAGTTAAGAGCACTGACTGCTCTTCCAGAGATCCTGAGTTGGATTCCCAGCAACCACATGGTGGCGCATGACCATCTCTAGTGGAATTTGATGCCCACTCCTGGTCTAAAGGTGTGCATGCAAATAGAACATTCATATACAGAAAATAAATAAATCTAAAAAAAACCCAAGATGCTCAGACATTTTACCTGCGTGGCTGATGACAAGATCTGCTTGCTGAAGGTCTTCTTTCAAAGAATCCTTATACCTGTAAACATCCAGAGTGAATGACTCAGTACTGAATGGTTCAGGAACCACTGTGCCTCTCCCAATTTGGAGGACAAGTTGGTTGTAACCGAGACTCTTGAGGATCTAGAACAGGAAATAAGAAAATGCAGTCCTTTTAAATGAGATCAATCCTTCATGAACAGCAGTTAAACAACCTCCAAATTGCTGCTCAAGTGAAGGGCGCAACTATACAAAACCTAACTGTGGCTGACCAGTTAGCGTTCAAAATTAGTCCTTTCCCTGCCCGCCCCTGTCCAGGTACCACCAGGGAACCTCACTGCCAGCCAGCTCACAGAGGGCAGAAAAAAACAATATACCTTGAATGAGGAGTCGGAAACCAGGCGGGAATCAAGGGAAGAGCCTGTTTCATTTATTGTTGTTGTTGTTGTTGTTGTTGTTTTTCAAGACAGGGTTTCTCTGTAGCTTTGGATCCTGTCCTGGAACTAGCTCTTGCAGATCAGCCTGCCTCTGCCTCCCGAGGCCTAGGATTAAAGGTGTGCACCACCACCACCACCGCCTGGCTGGGAAGAGCCTGTTTGTCTCACAAGCTGAGCAGGGACGGGACAAACTAGTAGGGTAGGACAGGAGCCACTAGGCGGAGGGAGCCACCCCAAGGGGAAGACCCTCTTTACCTGCTCAAAGAGTCGGGGCAATTTGTTTGGGGACAGAGAGAAGACTAGGGGTGCTGTGGACAAACCATTACGAGCTGGAGTAGGGGGTCCCAAAGAGAGATTACTGGTGGCAGGGTCCGCAGAGACGCTTTGGGCAAACCATTACTGGCTGGGGGGGATCCATAGACAGAGATGGCTGTGGGCAAACCATTACCGGCGGGGGGGGGGTCAGCAGACAAATTGGGCAAACCATTACTGGGTGGGGGATCCACAGACAGAGATGGCTGTGGGCAAACCATTACCGGCGAGAGGGGGTGGTCCGCAGACAAAAACGCTGCAGGCAAACCATTACTAGCTGGGAGGGGGGTTGCAGACTGCGGACAAACCATTACTGGCTGGGGGAGGGGGGTCGCAGACGTAGATGTGGCAGGGAAACCATTATCAACCTGGGGGTGTGTCACAAAGACACTGCGGGGAAACCATTACCCGCCGTGGAGGGGCGGGAGTCTCGGAACTGAGGCGCTGGGGGTCTGGGAACGATATAATCGGCTTAAGATGAAGAAGCCTGGACAGACACCAAGGGGAAAACCGTACCCTGCCTGACAGGGGTGAGGTCCACAGGCCGGCGCCTCAGGAAAACCTGTGTCCAGTCTGAGGGGCTGTGGGTGGGGTCCGCGGGCCGAGGCAACAAGGAATGAGCCATTAGTAGCCAGAGAGGTGAAGGGTCGCGGACCAAGGTGTCCGGAGGGGCCCGACAGGGCTTCGGGAAGCGACCCAGCCACGGGAGCGAAGGCGTGGGTAGTAGAGACTAAAGTGGAGGGGACAAGGCCTGGCCGAGGGGTACGGGGTTGGGGGTGAGGGAGACTGCGAACGGGGTAGGGTGCCCGGTGGGGGAAGAGGGGAGACTGCGCCGGGAGTGGGACAGGGCAGCGGTAGATAGCGCAGGGGTTGGGGCACGGCGGTGGTGGAGAGAGGCTGAGATGGGGCCTGTCGAGTGGAGAACGGCTGTGAGAACACAGCAAAGAGCGAAAGGAGGCCTGGCGGTGGTGGAGAGCTGGCTGTAGGGGACGAGACACTGAGGTCGCGGAGGGACGGAGAAGGAAACCCGAGGGGGACTAAAGAGGTTTGGGGCAGGGCGCCGGGTACCCGAGAAACAGCTGCCATGCTTCCTTCTGACCGCGGCGGCCAGAGAAGGGCAGCGGAGCTGAGACAGCCGAGCCCTGGGCCGGACTTACCTCGACGCAGTCCGGAGCGGCCACACTAGCGACGAGGTCATCGAAACTGGTGGTCCCAACAGTCACGAATGCTCTCTTCATCGCGCGGGTTCCAGATTCGGAATTCCTAAAGCGGACGTGACGTCAGCCAATTACGCCAATGTCGGCTCGAGCAAGGGAGTGGGAGGAGTAAGCCGTTGTGGCCTTGGGTCCCATGACTACCGGCTGCAGGGTGGGGGGCGGGGACCTCTGCTGGGCGGGGAGGGGTTCCGTCCCCGCCCCTCCCCCCCCCCCCCAGTTCTGCTGCGCGTCTGGCACACTTCCTGAGCCCCCTACACATTTGCATATAAACACCCTTGGGCTCCGTCAAAAAGTCAGACCCCCGGATAACAGGGTAGGTTGGAGGTTGCCAAGTCTAATTGTTGTCTGCTGAGAAAAAGAAAAACCCCCAACACCTACTTAGACCTTGTGCAGAAGGCATTGTTTGAATAGCACAAATCTTTCCCTGATAGGATTGAGATTTTTCGCCTGACGTCATAAAGGTCCACCGCTCTTTGTTCTGGCGTGCCCTTTGCCTTTAGGAAAGAACAGCCTTTCTCAGGTAAATCTTTTTTTTTTTTAATTTTTTTTTTATTGCGAAAAGAAGAAAAAAACACAAATAAAAAAACAAGTTTCCACCTCCTCCCAGCCTCCCATTTCCCTTCCCCTCCTCCCACCCTTCTCCCCCTCCTCCCACCCTTCTCCTCCTCCCCCCACTCCTCTCCCCCCCCTCCCTCTCCAGTCCACAGAACAGTCCGGGTTCCCTCTCAGGTAAATCTTACCAGATCTTTGAAGTGCACTCTCGGTCCTGGCTCGTAGAGGCAACCGGATTGTTGGGAGCTCAAGGTCAGCATGGGATATATAGTGAGATCCTACCTCTAAATAAAGAAATAAAAATAAAAAGCCGACTTTTCTTAAAGATTGTAAAAAACATCAGGTGGTTCATCCCCATTATCCCAGCCCTTGGGAAGCTGAGGCTGAAGGATCAGAATTTCCAGGTCAGCCTGGGCAACATGAGGCCCTGATTCCAAAAGCAAGTAAACAGACCCATCACAAATCACCAAGTATACATGAAAATTAAAATACGTATTTGCTACGAAGGGCTATGACTTTTGTAAAAGAATAACCAATATTTTTCTAGTTTAGGGTTTTGTCTTATTTTGAAGTTTCTGTAGTAGTGAGGTGAGCCATTTGCTGTCCTAATTACTTATGGCCCCAGGCCTAGTTCAGAACATTTTAAAGTTTGTTTCAAAAAAAAAAAAGAAAGAAAGAAAGAAACATTAAAAGTTTGAAACAGGGTGGGCGGTATTGGTAATCACCTTTAATTGAAGCCAGTCTGGTCTACAGACCAAGTTTCTAGAACAGGCAGGGCTACACAGAGAAACATTGTTTGAAAAAAGAAAACGTTTTAACCAGCTTTGATTGAGTGGATTTCCTGTTTAATCAAGTTGATTAATTTTTTTTTTCGAAACAGTGTTTCTCAGTGTAGCTCTGGCTGTCCTGGAACTAGCTCTGTAGACCAAACTGGTCTTGCACTCACAGAGGTCCGCCTGCCTCTACCTCTCCGAGTGTAGGGATTAAAGGCATGTGCCACCACTGGCCCCCAAGTACAAATTTTTAAGACAGGCTAGGCGGTGGTTGCACGTGCCTTTAATCCCAGCACTCTGAAAGGAGCTGGTGGATCTCTTGAGTTTGAGACCAGCCTTTTGGTCTACAAAGTGAGTCAAGACAACCAAGCTAAACAGAGAAACCTTGTCTCAAAAAAAAAAAATTTTTTTTTAGACCTGCATGATGGCCCACACTTTTAATCCCAGTACTCAGGAGACAGAGGCAGGTCAGTCTCTTATGAATTTGAGGCCAGCCTGGTCTACAGATCTAGTTTCAGGACAACCAGAGCTACACAGAAAAAAAAGAAGCTATCTCGAAAAACACCAAAATAATAATAATAAAATAACTTCCAGACAAGACTTTTTCACCCCAAGCAAAGGAAATAGCAACAAAGACAGCACAAGGCACAGAGAATCTGTTTTCCTCTATTATTTTGTTTTGGTTTTCGGTTTACTCCAATGGTAAACAAATCTTTTGGGATTTATCAATGCTATATCAAAAACTTGTTGAGAGGAGGAAGAAAAGGAATTCAACGATATTAAGAGAAATGTTTGTGGTGTATATGAGTGTGGTATATGTTCACGAGGACATATGTCCAAGTGCTGGTGTGGAGGCCAGAGGATGCTATCAGGTATCTGTCCTTAGCACTCTGCCATACTCCCTTGAGACAGGGTCTCTCGCTGAACCTGGAGCTAGGCTGACTGTACAGCCAGCACCAGTGATCTTCAAGTCTCTGTCCCCAAAAGTACTGGCTTTACAAGTGCTAGAGGCCATGAATAATTTAACTAGGGTACTTGGGATCCAAACTCAAGTCTTTACACTTGTGCAGCAAACGATCTTACACCTTGAACCATCTTTCCAGCCACCAAATTCTAGAAATTTTTTTTTTTTTTTGGTTTTTCGAGACAGGGTTTCTCTGTGGTTTTGGAGCCTGTCCTGGAACTAGCTCTTGTAGACCAGGCTGGTCTCGAACTCACAGAGATCCGCCTGCCTCTGCCTCCCTTTTTTTTTTTTTGGTTAGAAATTTTTAAAACATCAATATTTTAGGTTGGTGGTAGTTGTTTTTTTTTTTATTTCTGTAACCATTTCTTATTCAAAGTCTTACCAAGTAAGAGGTTGGGTTTTTTTTTTTTTGGAGGTGGGTGTGTTTGCTTTGTTTTTTGTTTTGTTTTGTGTAAAACTAGACCATTCCTAAGGGTGATCTCTCTGAGGGCTTCCACTTGTAAAACTACAATGGCTCACTCTACACTTAACTCACTACCTGCTACCGGAACTGGGCAGAAGATTTAAAAACACACACACAGAAACACCAGGACAAGGGTCATCCTTGATACAAGAATTCCAAGAATGCCCACTTTACCATGCTCAGGGGCAGCTTACTTAGGGCTGTAGCCACGCCCCGGCTCTCGGGATCTTTCAGCTACTAAAACATCAGAACTCACTCCCCAGCCATCAGGGTCTACTGCTCAGAGCAGCTGCAGCAAGGAAAACAAGTTGTTTGCAAGAAATTCAGGGTCTGGTGGTCCGCAGTACCAAACAGTTTTGTTCTTTGTTTTTTTCTGTTTGTTTGTTTATTTGTTTTGTTTTGTTTTTTGAGAGAGGGTTTCTCTGTAGCTTTGGAGCCTGTCTTGAAAGCTAGAAAGTATAAGCAAACCATCTCTGAATTGAATATGTATACAATCCTAGTATATATGCAGCTCATGCTCAATACATCTTCACTGAGTTGAAAATTAGGAAGAGCTAACGGTATATAGCTCAGCAGTAGAGCACTTATGTGAGATCCTAGATTATAATATAAAGCCTAAGCTTTAAACAATGATAAACCAGAAATGCGTCGTCTTAGTCTTTTTAACACAGCTCATAACAGAATCAATGAGGTGCCTTTAGATTTTTTTCATTTTCTATTGCTCATCAAAACTTTCAGAGACTGAAGAGATGGCCCCGAGGTTAAGAGCACTGGCTACTTTTTCAGATCACCCTGGCTCAATTCCCAGCAACCACACGGTGACTCACAGCTGTCACAACTCCAGTTCCAGGGGATCTGACACCCTTACAGTACCAATGTACAAAAACTAAAATTTAAAAAAATATTTAAAAACTTTCAGTGTATCTTTTCTGTATTACTACAGTAAATGTATTATTAAAGATGAAAGTTGAAATTATAACACATGTGCTATTCAACTGTGCTTTATGGATCTTTGTGTTCTTGTCAACTTGCCACAACCCAAATGTTGTAAATGGCTCTTCTTCTTCTTCTTCTTCTTCTTCTTCTTCTTCTTCTTCTTCTTTTCTTGCTTTTAGGAATGGCAAACTGATTATTTTCTTTTTTTTCTTTTTTCTTTGGGGGGGTGTGGTTGAGACAGGGTTTCTCTCTAGCTTTGGAACCCGTCCTGGAACTAGCTCTTGTATTCTAGGCTGGCCTCGATCTCACAGAGATACACCTACCTCTGCCTCCAGAGTGCTGGGATTAAAGGCGTGTGCCACCACCACCTGGCTCAGAATGATTATTTCCAGTTGCACTAGTCAAGTCTTAGTTCAAATAATACTATTATTGAGTTATTTTGGTGAAGAACCATAGAGGAAAAAAATGGCTTAACTTGTATTCCAGTGAGGTTCAAAATGTTCAGTATAAGTTGCCCGGTTTTTTGTTGTGTTGTTGTGGTGGTGATGCAGGGGATCAAACCCAGGGCCTTGCACATGCTGGACCTTATGGCCACCAGGCTAGGTCCTATTTCTTCAAGATCATAGTGGTAGATTCATTTACCAACAGTTCATAAAAATTCTAACATAATCAAAATTTGAAGAGAAAAAGAGAAACTGACACAACAGAAACAATCAGCTATAATAAATGATATCAAAATCATAACATTGGTCTTTTGGTCTTTGTTTTCCTTTTGTCCTTGCTGTACAAGTCAGGAACTGAAGTTTTGTTTGATGGGTTAATTTGTGGGTTTGTTTTTTGTTGCTGTTGTTGAATTTTTTATGACATTGTTTTGGGTAGCCTGGGATGGCTTAGAACTCTCTAAAGAGCTGAGGATGTCCTTGAACTGATATGCTGGGATTACACATCTGGGTCACACAACTACGGGTTTTGGGGATAACTGTTTTAATAGATTATAGTGAATAGTAACTAGCTGTATCAACTCAAGGCATCGAAGAGTGGGAGAAATGATCTTTTACTTAAGACTTCTAGGCCGGGCGATGGTGGCGCATGCCTTTAATCCCAGCACTCAGGAGGCAGAGGCAGGCGGATCTCTGTGAGTTCGAGACCAGCCTGGTCTACAGAGCTAGTTCCAGGACAGGCTCCAAAGCCACAGAGAAACCCTGTCTCGAAAAACCAAAAAAAAAAAAAAAAAAAAAAGAAAAACCAAAAAAAAAAAAAAGAGACTTCTAATAGGCAAAGCTTTATGGCAGGTAAATCCGACCTCATTTTACCAAACCTTGTTTTGACAGTT